AGAAAATTCAGCCTCCGAGCAAATGTTGTGAACAGATGCTATGAATATCGGAAATAAATCACTTTAGCTTTCTGGCCCTCCAGTATTTCCAAGCTTAAATTTGTACCATTCAGAAATTTTCATTCTATGCCCCCACAAGGCTTGTGTTAAGCCTGTTCTCTTGTTCTCATGACACCCAGGGACAGTCTCCATCCCACCTCCCCAGGCTTTTCCCCCATGTTTCTGTGGCTGGAATCTTCCAGGGTGATTGCCCTTCTGAAAGGGTAAGTATCTCACCCTTTCAGCTCTTAGCTGACCTCACTTCTCCTGTTTGTATCTTTCTCTTGATGTCTTCATCTCTTAGAATGGAGAACCATTGTAAAGGGGAAAGGGCAAAGACCCCGTCTCTCCCAGCTCCTCAGCTGGGTGCCCTGGGCTGACCGCTCGGGTCTCTCACTGGGGGGAGGGGGGAAAGAGAGCTGAAGGTCCCGCAGGGTGGGGTCTGCATTTCACAGTTGTGCCTGTGTCTCTCACAGCCCTTAATGCAGCGGAGGCCAGTGTGTGCTTGTTAGGGGTTTGCTGATAGATTACTTGAATGTTACCAGGGTTTGTAACCTACAGGAGCACTGCCAAGACTTTCTTTTTCCACTTTCAGGGGTAGCAGCACACTGACACAATCTCATTAATCAAATATACTATATTAAGCTAATGTTTTAACGAACATGAGTGGGAAGGCCAACTATTTCTTCTAGAGACGAATCAATCATCCACAAAATGACTTTGCTTTGCCAGGGGGATTAGATTCAGTAGAGAAACAGGAACCATAGTTTATTTCTAAGGTGAAATTAAGTTTGCCATTAAGCTTGCATGAAATAGGAAGTATTTACATGGATACAAAAGATGTGCATGGAGTAATAGCAAGTTTCATGGACATTTTCGCTTTTCCCACAGGACAATTATAAAGAATACAAATATAAACTGTTAACTATGTAAAATAGCAACTCATTGTTTCTAAACGTTCATTTAGCACCTAGAATGTGCAAAGACGCTCTTAAATGTGTGGGGGAACTGAACTGAGACTCTGGGCGGGGTGGGGGGGCCCCACGGGGGAGAGGGGGTGGGGCAGGGTGAGGTAAGACATACTGCCTGCTGCATTGAAGTGAACTTAAGCATTTGCTGCCTGAATACTTGGTACATGGCAGGACCTCAGTGGATGAATCCAGCAGCATCAGTAAGTGCCTCTGGCACTGAAAGGAGGGGGAGAGCCCAGTGGAATGGGGGCTGTAGCTGCCCCAGTAGTGCAGATGCCGCAGTGGTGGTGATCTGATGGGCAGGGTCTATAACCAGAAGGACAATGGAGAGGAAGGAGATGGGGGAGGAAGGACGAATGGGGCACTGTGGATTAAAGAAGTAAGGCGTGTTTGGTGAAAAGCAAGTAACAATTTGGTCTAAGTCCACTTTTGCTGGGGAGTGGATAGAGGGCGCTGAGGCTGGTTTCGCACGCAGACAGCGGCGAGGCTGGGCTCCACTTGGAGGGCGCCGACACTGGGTTCCCACGCGGAGGCTGGATTCCCACGCAGACAGCGGGGAGGCTGGGAGGGCGCGACGCTGGGTTTCCACACCGGGGCTGGGTTCCCACACGGAGGCTGGGCTCCCACGCAGAGGGCGCTGAGGCTGTGTTCACATGCCAGTCTTGGAGAGCCAGACTGAGCTAGAATATGAGACCACCACTGAAGGATGGACATTGAACAAGATAAACTAGAGGAATTTAATTGATAGTAGCACATAGGACTGATCTGATGAAAGAGCAGCTCAACTTGCGGACAATAAAATGGAAGGGAAGATTTGTGGGATTTTTAAACACCCCAATTTTCTGTCTCTCCTCAGTATGTTGTGGCTCTGGGAGAAGAATGAGCATGAATGGAGAGTGGAGACTGTCTTTGATTTGTACAGTACTGAGGGTCACGTGTGGGACATGGTTATGGTTGGCAGCTGTCTGCAAAGCCAGCACTCAGAGCTGGAAAGGCAGCATGAGAGAGCTACACAGTTCCTCTGTTCTTACTGTTCCTCTGTGGCTGAGATTTCTGAAGCACCAGAACCGACATGAGGCCCCCGGTTCACTAAATGAATGGAATTTAATCCGCATGGCCTTGAGCAGAAAGAACCCCGGTTGTAGCTGTGACTTTCCAGTCTTGTGTGTTTTGGCGTTTTTATTACTTAGGTGTATGGAGTCGGGACTAGAATTCTGCAAGGCAGGTGCCAGCAGTGTACCCTTCACGGCACACCTTCTCAGTCCACTTTGCACCAAACCCCAGGGGCAATGGCGTAGGCCTGGCTTGAGCAGTTCAGTGTTGTAGGGGATTTTCTCTCTGCTTTGGTGATTCTCAGGCTGAGGGATAGAGAGGAGACCCTTTAGAATGCGTCTTGGCCCAAGGTGAAACTGGAGATTTCTGGAGCAGACTCAAACTTGTTTGTCGTACAGAGTCTCACACTTAGTCTTTAACTGACCCAGTGACTTCAGGGTTGGGGACTGGGATTGGACCTCTATACCAGTGCTGTCCAATAGAAACAGAATATGAGCTGCAGATGCAATTGTAAATTTTCTAGTAGCCACATTAAAAAAAAAAAAAAAAAGTGAAAGAGCCCTGAGCCAGTGGCCGAGTTGGTTGGAATGGTGTCCCATACATGGAAAGGTTGTGGGTTCGATTCTCTGTCGGGGCACGTAGTTTGGTTGCAGGTCCGATCCTTGGTTGGGCCGTGTACGGGAAGCAGCCAGTCTCGTATCTTTCTCTTCTTTTCTCTCTAAAAGCAATAAACATATCCTCGGGTGAGGATTAAAAAATTTTTATTTTAAAGTAAAAGAAATAGGCAAAATTGAATTTAAATAGTTTTTTATGTAACCCATTATGCCCAGCACATCATAAATATAATAAATAATCAATATAAAAATTATTGAGAGACTTTTACATTCTTTTTCTCATGCCAGGTCTTCCAAGTCTGTTGTGTACTTACACTTAAAGCACGTCTCCCTTTGGACTGGACACTTTTCAAATGCCTGAGAGCCACATGTGGCTAGTGGCTACTCTATTGGAGAGTCCACCTACAGCACAAGACTTTTTGAGAGGAAAAAAATAGACTTTCTTTTTTCGGGCAGTGTTAGGTTCCCAGAAAAACTGAGTGGAGAGTCAGAGTGTCCATGTATTGTCAGCCCCACACCTTTGCGACATCCCCACCTGAGCGGCACGTTTGTTAAAATTGATGACCCTACATTGACGCACCACTATCGGTCAAAGCCCATAGTTCATATTAGGGTTCCTCGTTGGTGTTATACATTCTGTGGGTTTTGACAGAGGTATAATGATGTGTATCCACCTTATAGTATCATACACTATAGTTTTATGGCCCTAAAATTCTTCTTTGCTCTGCCTCTTTATCCCTCCTTCCTTCCCCTCTCCTCCCTGACAACCACTGATCCCTTTTGTTGTCTTCATAGTGTTGACTTTTCCAGAGTATCATACAGTTGGAACCATAAAGCAGGTGGCCTTTTCAGACTGGCTTCTTTTGCTTAGTAATGCACGTTTAAGGTTCCTCCGTGCCTGTTCAGAGCTTCGTTGCTTCTTTCTTTTTAGCCCTGAATATTACTCCATTGTCTGGATGTACCACCATTTATTTATAGAGGAAGACTTTGCAAATTCGGATTATATCCCAGCACTGGGATATTTGGCGGGGCGGGGGGGGGGGCGGTGTCTGAGAGTCAGGAGAGTGGAGGTATTAGAATAGCTGTGGTTTTCTTTTTGCTACGCTTAGCATCTGTGAGCATTCAGAAGAGAGAGTGAGGAATGGGAGAGAGATCAGGATGGAAGTATTGCAGAAACATATCCATAACCACAAATAAAGGCGAATCCTCTTTTCTTACATCCCCTCCCCGCCGCCACCCTCCTCCCAGCCAGGAATCCCCACCTGAGGTAGCCTAAAGCCTTCTGGTAATAGTGGCCATGCCACTACTCCCTCCACGCCAGCTTTATGAAAATATTTAGACTAAGCAAATTGTTGGAAGAGAACAGAAAGCTGAATTTGCATGGATGCAATTTCCTTGATCAAAGAATATTAAGCAAAAAAGATAGCAAAGCAGGAGATGCTACAATTCAGATGTTATTCCCATTGTTTCGGGATGCAGCTCTGCTCTGTCTCCTTTATCTGGGGGGTGATGCTGCTGAAGGACCTGCCTTGGTTCAGGTGAGATAAATTTAATGCCAGCTGAGCACTCTTTATTGGCAGGGGTTGCTGTCTCGATTCCGAGAATTGTGTGATTGCAAAGCTGGAAAGCCAATTCATCAAGCTATAGTGCTACAGCCCGATTAAATGTATTAACTGGAAGATGACTTCATTTCAGCCATTTTCAATCTTAAATGCAAGGATCAGTCTTTTATGGAATGAGTTAATGTCAGAAAATCTATCCACTGTCTTCCTCATTAACAGTTTAATATCTTCTAAGCATTGGTGAACTAAGAAAATAATTACAGATAGTAATAAAGAGTTCCATTTAGGAATGGGCCGATATGAAAATGCTGTTGATTTTGGTTCATACTCATAGATTTAGGCCCCTTTCAATATGTCAAATTACTGGTGACAAAAAACAGAAGTAGCTGTTTTGACAAGCTTAGCACTGTGCGCGAGAAGTGGAAGACTCAGTTTTATCTTGTTGGAACAAGTCGCATTAGCCTTGAAGAACATTTTGTTTTGTATTCACAAATCAGTCTTCCCAGCCCCGCGTTGCTCAAACAAAGCAAGAGAAAGACTGGCTAGTTCAGTAGCCCATCCCAAACCTAAGGCGCAAACTATCACCAAACTTTAATTTTCCCAATCATGAGATGGGAATTGCATATATTTGTAAAAATTATTCTAATATCTTCAGATGAAATGGTCCAAGAAGTAGAGATTAGTGTAATGAATCACTGTGCTTCGGGGGGGGAAGGAAAGCCTCATCCTAAAGACTTTTTGTTGTTTTTTTTTTCCCCCAGCTTCTTTCAAAATGTCTACTGTTCATGAAATTCTGTGCAAGCTCAGCTTGGAGGGTGAGGTAAGTATATCATTTTCACTTTGTCATTTTTGCAAATTGGACATCTCTGAGGACAATACTACAACTCTCTTTCCTTGGACATCAAAGAAAATGGGGCAAAATTCAGACAGTCATTCTCCCTCTTGGTTCTCCTTTCTTCTCCATTATTTTAGCTGTTCTTAATACTTCAATTTGAAAGAAATGTTTTGGCTCTAGAAACTTTTTTGACATCACATTAAAATAGGACAGACACTAGTGACACTGGGGTGGCTAGAATTTTGTCCTGCTGTATATTTAGCAGGTCAGTGGTAGGAATTGTTGTGATGATGTACGGCTTTCCATGTCGCGCCCTGGGATTTTAGTAATGGGTAGCCATATCAAAACTTACCCTGAGTGTTTCTCTGTGTCCCAGAAGTTATTCCAGACAAGAACTTACACCTTTTTTTCTTTTCTTTCTTTTTTTTTTTTTTTTTAAATTTAGCACTTGGGAAAGCTTTTCTCCCAAAGAGCTGGGATGTTGTTTCTTCTGCTGCTGCTTTTCCTCCTCCTCCTTCTTCTGTAATGAAAGTACTGTAATTCATTATGTTTCCTTTTTTGCTTTGGCTATCAGGGAGTTCAGAATTCTTTTTAATCGTCTTCTCCAGGAAATATGCAAACATGGAAATTCTGATGCATTTGCTTCTTTGTCTTATAGTTGAAAAATTTTAAACTATATATGAGGTTATGCCGTTGAAAATACTTTGAGAAATCAAGTAGAATATAAATTATGAATATGTAAAATATCTAATAACATCATACATTTTTTTAGGTCACCTTGGCTGAAATGGCTTTTACAAAAATTCAGTACTGCTTTGTAGGCATATCTTGTAGATATTTCAAAATATGCTCTCAATTAAATTAAAATACAATGAAACACTCAAAGTGGGTTGACAGCAGCTTGGATCGTGTGGGTGTAGAACCCTCTGTATTGTCTAGGGTGCTTGCATCAAAACATTCAGAAAGATGATGTCCTCATGAGCATAGTTTGTATAAAGCCCGTGTATATTTCTCATCTTTCCTTTTGGAACTTGTGCACAAGTTTGTTGGCAACAATACAAACTGCAGCTGAGGTCTAGACAAATGCAGGAGCTAAGTGTTTGATTTCTTTAATGGATCTGACCATTAGATTGTTTTTCATATCAGCTTTCCTGAGAGGGCTTTCCATGCAGCCACCGCGGTTGCTGCGTTCTAGTGACGCGTTTGTCTGTCCAGTGAGATGGGCCTGCAGTAGGAAATGTCATGTTTTCCCCAGTATTTTGAGAGAAGATCACTTCTGCCTCAATGATTTGATTTTTGGATGAGGAGATTTTACAGATAATAGGTTCAGTTATCCATTTAATTTTGTTTCCATAGATACTATAAAATTATGCAAAACATTTCCCTACTCACTGTTTTGGAATACGATGACATAGCACCTGGTGAATGAAGCCATATGTAAGGTGGCTCAATGACCAGACTGTCTGCCTTTGTGAATAATTGAGAGAATTGTTAATAAATAGGAAGATGTTTTTCTTAGACTTCCGTCCACATTTTATAGTCACCATAGCAGATTCCAAAGTAGCTCTTTGTTCTTACCTTTTCCTGAACGTGCCCTCCATCTCCAGGGTGTTAATCCTACTGGAAAATTTAAGAAGTGAAATGAGATGGGAAACACCTTGATATTTTATTGTGTTTCAGAGTTATAAATAGGAACTGGATTTACTGCTTGGCCAAGATGGTCACAAGGACACTGCGAGACATTTTGTCCTGTTCTGAACTTAGATTTCTGGCTTGTCCTGGGAGACGCTGAAGAGGATGGCCTCTTCGTTGCTTATCTGTACAATCTCCCTAGTAAAACCAATGGGTGTGGGAGCTGGGTTCCTGTAATGTAATGCCTGTGGGTGGCGAGGTAGGTCAGGGCACCTTAGCTTCTGACTCTTTCCAGAAACCCAGCCAACGACACTCATCACATTATGATGGGTATTATGTACTAAAGGAGGCAGTGGGGGGTTTCAGGATGGGGAACATCGATGCTGAAGGTTGGGCAGCGGAAGGTGGCTCCACCAGCCATCAGCTAACGAAAACCACATTGCCCATCTTCTTTCGTCTGCCCTTTGCTTTGGGGCTAGGTAGTGGGGGTGGGGGGAGGAACGGCAAGAGCATTTCCAGGAAGGAGGCAAGCTGACATTTTGGAAGAGAGAACTGATGTAGAAGCAGGCTGTTGCCCGCACTTTAGTCTGGATTGAGGTGAGGGTGGGTCCTCCCGACCAGGAAGGGACACAGGCTTTGTAAATCGTTGGAAAGGAGGAGGGTACGGTTTATAAGGCAGTAAGAAAACACTAAAAAGAGTGGTAGACAGAACCGGTAGTGTTAAAGACAGCAGAGGGGAGGGGGCGTAGGGTAGAGGGAAGAGCAGGAGGAACTTGGTTGATATGAAGAGGAAGTGGGCCATGTGGCCTTACCCCCTGGGTGCCTCAGCACTGGCCAGGGTGGAGGCGGCTTCCTCACTTACCTGACGGACAAGCAGGCAGGCATTTCATACTTGCTTTTTAAAGAGTGGTGAGCTCAGTCAATAGGCCCAAGTGGAAATTCATGCGTCTGCTGCAAAACTTGGCTACACACACTTGTTATTCAGGCATTCCCACATTTCAGTTTGTTTTGAATTGTTGCCAGCCCAATTTTAATGCTCTTTAAAACCTTCCCAAATAAACAGGTGCTTTCAAATGCCCAGCTTTGTATTGTCTGCTTTTGAGCTTGCACTGAAGTAAGATAAGTGGAAATATAGACAGCGTGTTCTAAACTTGCTGGGTCTTTGAAGATGAATTCTCATTAGAAAGAATCAAGTTCCTTATAGTTACCGAATCTAAGAATAGCTTGAATTGTTAAAAGAAACAATAGGAAAAAAATCTTTTAGAAATCGATATTTCAACAAGAGGGTCTTAAATGTGTATGATTTGGGTTTGTTTCTTTTTTGACCTCAGCACTCTACACCCGCAAATGCTTATGGGTCAGTCAAAGCCTACACCAACTTTGATGCCGACCGGGATGCTTTGAACATTGAAACGGCCATCAAGACCAAAGGTAGGTGATAACGCTTGTTCTCCTCTCGGCAGGCTTTGACGAGGGTGTTTGCAGTTGTCCCTCGAATCTCTGTACGTTGGCCATCTGAAATTGTTTTAATGGAGTGGAGCTTTAATGGAGTGGATTCAACCCTGCCTTACCCCGTACCTTCTTGCTGTCCTCCCTCCCTCTTCTCCCCCTCCCCTCCTCCTCTCTTTGGAGAGAAGATGTAAAACACAAGATAGTGTTTTAACCAAATAGCACAGTAACAGGAAAATAGGCCTAAGCTGAGACCCTGGAGGCCCGGTAGGTCCCCTGGGGGTGCCCTCTGGGCCCAGCTCCGCCCAGCTCCGCCTGTCACTGAGCCCTCGGTGCCTCTTCCGTAAAGGAAGTTCCTCATGGTGATCCCTAAGGGAATTTTTTTTTCCCCTGAATTCTCCTTGAATTTCATTACTTTTGTTGGAAAAATGCTGGGGAAATTTTACTGCTTTGCTCTTAGGTTGATCTAATGAGAGAAAAATTCAGACTCCTTTTTTTACCCTACTAGTTAACACCACTCCTTAGGCCTGGACATAAAAGAGCTGTTGGAATGAGTATGTTTCCTTGAGTTCGAGGATGAGTAAAAGAGGACCAGCAGGCGCAGAGCTTCCCTAACTACATCCAGCAGATAACATAATTGGGTGGAGTTGAGCAAGAGCTTGTTCAAGTCATCACACTGTTTTCTGTGTCTACAGAAGTAAATGTTCTGACTTTCTGGGCTTATGTTAAAGAAGCATGTGTTTTGGGGGTTGCCCCACCCCCCTGAACCCCTGGAAACATGGTGATTATTGTGATGCTCTGATTCTACCACGCTCATTTTCCCTTCTGGACCTCCTTTTTACTGTGGGGTTAGATGGAGATGCAGACAAGACCCAGCAATCAGAGCTGCTGGTTCAACCCCTGCCGAAGAGCTAGGAGACATATTTCTTTTCCAGTAGAGTGTTTGGATTTACACACTAACACACAGTTCACTAATGGACGGGGAACCTCAACAGGGCTGACTTAGGAACCTATGGAACATGACCATATGCCCTGGGTTATGCCTGCACATTTACTGACTGGGCCCTTTTTACTTTCAGAATTGTTCTATTTTGCAGAATAAATTACATGGACACCTTTCCTAATACCTTTGGAGAAACTGGTGACTTTTCTCCAGAGGTGGGAAGAAAAGGAGAAAGATCCTTTAGGTCCTGTGGTTCTTCCAGGACACAGGGGTCCTCATCACCTGCCCCCGAGCAGCCTTAAGGCCCGGGCGGACACTGCGGGCTGCCCAGACGTCTGAAGGGAGACTAATGAAGTGTCGAAATTTGACCTTAAAAAATCTTCTTTTTTGGTGCTTTTAAAAATGACCATACGTATCAAAGACCAGGTTGGGAAGTCAGGAAGTCACTAATCAGAAAATAAAACTGAAGTGAGTTCTACTCAGTGAAGCGCAGTGGATGAGAACATGGGTGATTATCATTTCAAATCTTGGCTCTGCCACTAATTTACTGGCAATGTGACTCTGGAAAAATACTTAACTTCCTTAAGCCTCAAGTTTTTTCACTAGGAAGTAGGACTGATCAAAGTTCCCACCTCACAGGGTGATTGTGAAGTACCTCCTCGCACCATAGCATAGTGCCTGGCATTTTGACATTGCCCAAAATAATTTACCTTAACACACACACACAATCCACTTTCCTAAAACACACCCTGTCTCGTTATTTGGGTGTGTCTGCTTTCCTGGGGCTTCCCGCAGTGCCATCAGAGAAACACACTCGAAGTTTAACGGTTAACTCATCTGACAAAGACGGTGCCTTTTCCCAGCTTGAGACAAAGACTGCTTTTATCCCTGCATGAGAAAGCTTTTAGCACACTGGAATGTAAAGATTGCGCAAATGCACTCTGGTAACAGCTGAAACTCCCATGGCAATAAAAATGCCTTCAGGCCCTTTCTAAGGTAGCAGGAAAGTACTGTAGTTTCTAAGCAGGAATGTCTGCATGGCTGAGATTTGGATTCCTGCTTTCTAGTTTGGTCCAAAGCAGCTGACATCACCATTATCCTGGTGACAACTATTTATTGAATTTATTGACTGTGCATTATGGGCAAGTGTTGCAACCCAGCACTTTTGGAACGTTCGTCTTAGAAGAATTTCAGATCCGTTCTCTGGTGTGGGGGGCCATCACTGCCAGTTTACAGGTGACACAGTTGAGGGTTAATATGCTCTACGACCAAGGGCTTGTGTGAAACCAGGATTTGAACACAGTTCTGCCCGGCCCCAGGCTATGTGCTTAAGCCCCCAAATATTGTGACACCAACCTTCCAGGATAGCACCTTTTTTCTTTGCTAAGTGAGTGTCAGACATGAAAAACCCGATTTCTGTTGTTATCAGACACAAGCCTTATCTGTGGTCCTGCTTTAGGGCCCTGCCTTCTTCACTTTAGGACTGAAAACCCAAAGAGGAACTTGGAACAAGTGCCTAGGAACTTGTTTTCCTTTCTCTCTGTGTGTGTGTGTGTGTGTGTGTGTGTGTGTGCGCGCGCCTAGTGAATTTAGAGAGTAATTTTCTTGAGTTGTCTCTTGGTCCTTTAAAATAATCTCTAGATTGTCAGCATGTTTAAAACCTTAAATTCTGCCAGTAAACTATTGAGAATAAGGAATATGATACCCATACAGAGCTCAGTGTACCAAGCATTTTAATATCAGACATCTTATAGTCGGGGAGTGACTTAGGAAATAGTAGTAGCTCACTCTATAGTATGTAGAATGTCTGTAGACTGTCACAGAGACCTGAAAATAAAGTTTCTGAACAATTTTTGACATTTTTATTGGATATAACTTACATACATACAATTCACTATATAAAATGTAGAATTCACTTTTTTTTTTAGTGTATTCACATAGTTGTACAGCCATCGCCATGATTTCAGACCACTATTTAACATTTACCGTGACATTTGCATAAAGAAATGGGCATAAAAGAGTATGTATGGTATGATTATACCACAATTTTTTTATGTCAAAAGGGAAAAAGGGCATTATTAATTGATATATAGAGTTATGGGTAATTGATTCTTTTCCTTTCTTGTGCTTTCGATATATTCTGTATTCTTTAAATTTTCTATTATGATGACACATATTACCTTCATAATGAGAGGCAGTAAATTTAATTACAAACAAAAATGAAGTCATTTGTTGGGAGGGTAAAATCCCTTTTGTTCCTTTTCCTTTCCCCTTGATATTTCTAGATAACTAACACCACTTAAAAATGAGCTAATTAAGATCTTAGCCCCCCCCCTTTCAGAATGCCTTCTACCTTCAGTGTAATTAAGAAGCTCTGCCACACCCCACTCCCACCTCTAGGGCTTTCTGGGGAGAACACAATGCTAAGTAATTGGTGCTTCCTAGACATGAAAGGAAACGAAGCATAAACCTTAAGTGCTGATACACACAAAAGCCAGAGGACCATGAAAAGTAAAGATGACTATGTGGGCCTTCTCTCCTAGAAAGGGTAACGTAAGTGTGTGTGCACAGACATGTGGGTGTATGTGCCAAGTGCAGAGCATGCTGGGTAGTGCCTGTTCCATCTGACGCAAGATCAGTACTCAGAAGGAGAGCTGGGAGCAAGTGACCTGTGGTAGAGGGTTTATTAGTTCCTGTTAAACACGAGGAATGCAAAGGAGCAGACCTGGAGTGGGGAGGCTTAACAGGAGGAGTAGACCCGGGCGGTGTGACCTGGACGGGTCAGAAGGTAGGTCCCAAAGCAGCTCTTACCCATCCCTTCCCCTTCACCTTTATCATCTTACCATCTCTCACCTGTCCTGGCGTCTGTCATTTTTTTTTTTTTTTAAAACAAAAACAACTTTTTTTAATTTATTGATTTTACAGAGGGAGAGGAATGGAGAGAGAGAGAAAAAAACAAATATTGTTCCACTGACCAATGCATTCATTGGTTGATTCTTGTATGTGTCCTGACAGGATCAAACCTGCAACCTTGGCATGTCAAGATGACGCTCCAGTCAACCGAGCTCCATGGCCAGGCGTGTGTCCTTCTCATGGGCCTCCTTGCCTCATCTCTTGCAGATTCTTTTTCTGTTTTCATCCCCAGGCTCTTCGGTGCCCCTGGCAGAGCCTTTGCTGTGGCAGAAGTGTGCCACCACCTTCTGGAGGGAGCATTAGCCCATTTCTAGCATCCAGGCAGTCCCCCCACGTCTCTCAGCCCAAGCTGATACACAGCTTCTTCTCCAAGTTTTCTTTGAGAAAGGGGCAGAATCTGTTATTTCTTGGTCTGTCTCATTTTATATATTGCTCTCCCACCAGAATGTCAGCTTCTTGAGGGCAAGGGCTTTATTTCATTAATTGGATTTAATCTTATTCACACAGCTCTAGGGACTGTGTGAAAAGGTAAACATTTAACCCAATAGTCCAATGTAGGCACCGCAAGTGCAGGGAGTTGGGGACCCATGGCTGGCAGATGAGGCTGCAAAGGGCAGTTCAGGAACCTGGACAGGTCCGGAAAGGGTAACAGTCCCCTAGTAAGCATTGATCTGTTTTAACAAAATGAATTTAGCTCATTCTTCTAAGCCGGCTTTGTTTCTAGTTTGAAGAGATCTCAGTATTTCTTGAGTACGTTACCTAAACCCAGTGCATGATTATTTTGTGTTATGCTCTGGCTTGAGGTAGACTGTGTGCAATTACTTACCTTAATTTATGTCTAGTTAGAAGCTGAATAAAGCTGTGCAAAAGTAGTGATATTGCTTAATTAACAAGAGGTTTTGGAGACTTAAATCTGTAGGAGTCTCTTGGTCTAGATTGGCCTTGGGTTAAATATATACTGTGGAGTGTACAACACAGCTGTGAATGGTTTACCATATGGGTCCAAATAACTAGAAAGGAAAGTCAGCTAAATTAGAAAAGGATGAATCTAGACTACATAAAATAGATTGTAATTAGAGGCGGCACAACCCCGGAGTTAGTGTAAGTGCCAATAAACTGGTACAGC